ATGTCCAGCTGGAGACTTTGTAATGAAGCCTCTTAGATACGAGGTCGCTGATTTAAAACGATAAGACATCTTGTTCCGTACTCTCAGTACAAACTTTGGGGACATCAGAAGGTCAAGCCACTTTTCTGGTCAATCAGGTGGGAAGAGCTGCCTGCTGCTTTGAGGTTGTTGGGAGTGAATTTTGTATACTGAAATGTTCCTTGCAGTTTGTTGGTGCTAATGTTGACTCATTTGATCATTAACAAATAAACAAGCACTGCCTGTTGTTGGTTTGGCCTTTGACCTTCTGTGGTAGACGTTCTGATACCACAAGTATTTTCTTGACCAGAAGTTTGTCGTTATGAAAAGTCTGAAGTGCACTGAGTCAACAAATTAAGAGCCTTTTCACTGCTACAAACAATTTTAAAAAAATGAATGGCTAGAACTTTACTTCGACCCCATGTTATTGACCTTTTTGGGCTCCTTGACTTAGCTCTGACTACTCTCTGGTGACCTTTTAGTGGGGCCTATTGACATAACTACAACCCCTTATTGTTGATCATTTGACCTTTACCTTTAGTCTGACCTATGTTGTTGACCCTCAGGACTCATGTCCAGTCTTTCTCCAACCCCTAGCTGGTGTAAATTTAGAACTTTAACTTTACTCTGAACCATGTTGATTTTACTTTCAGCCCGACCCCACGTTATTGACCGTCAGGCCTCATGTCTTTTGACCTAGCTCCGATCCCTCTCTGTGACCATAAAGAAATTTATTGGGTCGATAGTGCCGTAAAACACCTACTCAATCAATCGATCTAAAAAACTTTACCTTTAGCATCTCCAGTCTGAACCCACATTTTTGACCCTCATGACTCATGTCTTGATCTTTAGTCCAACCCCACGTTTGTTTTTATTTTTACCTTTAGTTTGAACTCATATTATTGACCCTCAAGACTTGTGTCTTGACTTAGCTCCAACTCTTCTTGGTTAACCTACGAAACATATCCTTTAGTCCGACCCCACGTTGTTAATCCTCAGGACTCCTGTACTGACTCAACTTCGATCCCTCTTGGTGACCTTAAATAACTTTACCTTTAGTCCTACCCCACGTTATTGACCCTCAGAATCCATGTCTTGACTTAGCTCCGATCTCTCTCGGTGACCATAAAGAATTTTACCTTTACTCCGTCCCCACATTTGTTTTCACCTTTTGTCCGACCCCATGTTATTGACCCTCAGGACTCGTTTCTTGGTGACCCTTAAGAACTTTACCTTTAGTTCGGTCCCATGTTTGTTTTTATCTTCAGTCCGACCCCACGTTGTTGACACTCAGGACTCACGTCTTGACCATAGTCTGACCCCACGTTTTTTACCTTTAGTCCGACCCCACGCTATTGACCCTCAGGATTCTTGTCTTGATCTTTAATCCAATCCCACGGTTTTTGACCCTCAGGACCTATGTCTTGACCTAGCTCCGATCCGTCTTGGTGACCCTAAAGAACTTTACCTTTAGTTCGATCCCGTGTTTGTTTCCACCTTTTGTCCGACCCCACGTTATTGACCCTCTGGACTCATTTTTTGGTGACCCCAAAGAACTTTACCTTTAGTACGATCCGACTTTCGTATTTACTTTCAGTCCTACCCCACATTTGTTTTTACCTTCAGTCCGACCCCACGTTATTGACCCTCAAGACTCGTGTCTCGACTTAGCTCCGACCCTTCTTGGTTAACCTACGAAACATATCCTTTAGTCCGACCCATGTTGTTTTTTCCTTTAGTCCGACCCATGTTGTTTTTTCCTTTATTCCGACCCAACGTAATTAATCCTC